TGACTGTGCCATGAAGAGAGGTGGGTAACAAATAATAATAATAATAATAATAATAATAATAATAATAATAATAATAATGTGCCACTGTGAGTTTTCCAGGCTGTCTGGCCATGTTCCAGAAGCATTCTTTCCTGACGTTTCACCCACATCTATGGCAGGCATCCTCAGAGGTTGTGAGATCTGTTGGAAACTAGGAAAATGGAGTTTATATATCTGTGGAATAATGTCCAGGGTGGGAGAAAGAACTCTTGTCTGTTCGACCTTGTTGGCCACCTTGATTAGCATTGAATGGCCTTGCAGCTTCAAAGCTGAGAATGCCTGCCAAAGATGTGGGTGAAACGTCAGGAGAGAATCCTTCAGGAACATGGCCATACAGCCTGGAATACTTACAATGGCTGAGTGATTCCAGCTATGAAAGCCTTCTACAACACAATAATAACAACAACAATAATTTTATCCACCTGCTTTTGCAGGAAGATGCCCTTAGTGGGTATGAATTTTAGAGTAAACAAAGACTGCAATTTTGTTAGCATTTGTCTGCATGAATACATTTCCACTCCCTTGGCAGCCACCTCTCCACCAAAGTCAACATTGACACTGAAATACAACACCACCTGAGCTCTGCGAGTGCAGCATTCTTCCGAATGAAGCAGAGAGCGTTTGAGGACTGGGACATAGGGATACCAAGGGGCTTGTTTACAAAACTATTGTCCTCCCAACTCTGCTATATGCCTGCGAAACGTGGACTATCTACAGACGTCACATGCAAATCCTGGAATGATTGCATCAGTGTTGCCTCTGAAAAATCCTGCAAATCCCTTGGGAAGACAGGTGGACAAATGTCAGCATGATGGAAGAAGCAAAGACCACCAGTATTGAAGCAATGCTCCTCCACCATCAACTGCTGGACCAGCTAGTTGTCCGAATGCCTGATCACCATCTCCCAAAGCAGTTGCTCTACTCCGAACTCAAGAATGGAAAACAGAATGTTGGATGACAGGAAAAGAGATTGAAAGATGGGCTCAAAGCCAACCTTAAAAATGGTGGCATAGACACCGAGAACTGAGAAGCCATGACCCTTGAGCGCTCTAGCTGGAGGTCAGCTGTGACCAGCAGTGCTGTAGAATTTGAAGTGGCACGAATGAAGGGCGAAAGAGAGAAACATGCCAAGAGGATGAAGGCGCATCAAGCCAACCCCAATCGGGACTGCCTTCTGTCTGGAAACGGATGCCCTCAATGCAGGAGAACATGCGGATGAAGAATAGGGCTCCACAGTCACCTACGGACCCACCGCCAGGACACTGAATTTGGAGGACAATCTTACTCGGACAACGAGGGCTCACCTAAGTAAGTAAGTAAATAAGTATGAATACCAGTCTTTGGACTACAACTCCGGCATTGTCATGAGACTTTCTCCTATTTATGCTTATTCCTATTTGTGCTTATGAGATGTCGGTTGACTCAGCCACCTGCCCTTTGTCTTAATCTCACCTCTTGATATTTTCTGGATAAAAAAGGGAGGCTTGCCACTCTGGGTGGGGCCTTTTGTACTGGTCAGGATGGTTATCACAGAGCAAAGACAGAGCTGAGAGTAAACGGAGGGTGACTCACATTGGCCTGCTTTCTGTTTGTTTTGGAAACTGCCTCCCCATTGCAGAAAGAGACGTCACCCAGTCTCAAAGCCACGGCCACCATCACTGATGAGGGGAATATTAGGAAGCAAGGAGACTGCAACCTGTCACTCAATAGGTGCAAGAGAAGACGTGAAAGACCTTGTAGGCAAGGGAAAGTATTTTGTACAAGGCTCATTGGGGGGCCATTGTACTGGAAACCAGTCTGCCCCAACAGACTTTTATCTTTGCTGGGCTTTCTGTATATTCTTGGGGAGGAGTCACAGCTGCCTCCTCTGTCATGTATGGACTTTGGAGCAAGCCAGCCCTCTTTGGCTTTGCCCTGATCTCTTCTAATTCTTTGTATTTTGTTGAATTACACGATATAACACAATTTCAAAGAAAACTTGGTTTGAAAGTGTTATCCCTGTTTAATTGCTTTGAAAGGAGTTGTTTTGCCCCAGAAACTTTGTTTCTGTGGCTGCCGCAAACTATCTTGAATTGGTTGAGACTCAATGAGATATTCATTGAAGGGTAAAGGGTAAGGTAAACCTAAAAGTAATAACAACAATAATATAGTAAAATGATAAATTAATTATAATAATAAATAGAGTAAAATAATAAATGTAATAATAGAGTAAAATAATAATAACAATAATAAAGTAAAATAAAAATGAAATAATAACAATAGAGTAGAACAATGAATGTAATAATAAAAATAATAATGGAGTAAAAATTGTAAATGTAATATTAACAATAATAGAGTAAAATAATAAATGTAATAATAACAATAATAAATAGAGTAAAATAAAAAATGTAATAATAATAAGTCCAGGTGTGTCCAACTCTGGGGGGTGGTGCTCATCTCCATTTCTAAGCCGAAGAGTCAGTGTTGTCCATAGACACCTCCAAGGTCATGTGGCCGGCATGACTACATGGAGTGCTGTATATTCCCGCTGGAGTGGTACCTATTGATCTACTCACATTTGCATGTTTTCAAATGGCTAGGTTGGCAGAAGCTGGGGCTGACAGCGGAAGCTCACACTGCTCCCCAGATTTGAACTTGCAACCTTTTGGTCAGCAAGTTCAGCAGCTCAGTGGTTTAACCCACTGCGCCACCGGGGGCTACATTCATTGAAAAACTACAGCAAATGTGCTATATTAGGATGCCCTGCGTGTTTACTCAGGAATGGCTCCAGCGGGACTTGTTTCCAAGTAAGTTTGCCTAGGATTGAAATGGTTTGGGTGCTGGGCTACAGCTCTGGAGGTCAGGGATGAGTCTACACTAGAATTAGTGTAGTTTAACACCACTTGAATGCCTGTGGTTCAATGCTAGGGAATCCTGGGAGTTGGAGTTTGGTGGGGCACCAGCCTTCTTGGGCAAAGAAAGCTAAAAACCTTGCAGTTTACAAAACTTTTTCCGTGTTTGTATGATAGTACCAATTAAGAAATGACATTTATAACCCAAGAACAAAAATCGTGTTACATAGTGTTATGTCATCACTGGTTTTTAAAATTCCTTCCTTGGCTCTCTAGCTATAGTTGTCTGAGAAATAAGAAATATTTCCAATAAATTAAACTTGGCATGAGAGCTAATGTCTGTCAGCAGAGAAGAAGCGCACACTCATTACACTCAGAGAAGAAGCGCACACTCATTACACTCAGAGAAGAAGCGCACACTCATTACACTCAGAGAAGAAGCGCACACTATTGAGCAAAGGGCTGCGTGCGTGATAAATACAATGAAAAAATATCCCTGGCCTCTCTCCAGTTTGCTCTCCTTTAGGCTAATGAAGAGGAACAACAGGTGATCATACAAGGGTTGAATGATAAGTAATGCCTCCACCTTCGTAACTCCTTAACAGATGGCAGTACTGGTAAGTGGCAGGTATTGGCTTGTTCAGTAGACTCTCCTTTACAATTCCATTTTGGCGGGAAGCCTTAGCATTGAATGGCTGTGTTGTTAAAGTGTGAAGTATGGAACCCTGTGCAGACAGTCTGTCAATGCGACTTAAGCAACGTGCGGTCATTGAATTCTTGACAGCAGAAGGTGTCCACTTTGCTAGAGCTGCAAATAAGTACTGCACACCTTATTTATTGTGCCTGTATGCGTAAGACATAACTCCAGTTTGCCAGAATTGCAAAGAAGTATTGCAAAACATTTATTGTGCCCGTAGGGGTAAGACATACTCCAATTTGCCAGAAATACAAAGTAATACCAAACTTCGTACTTCAGTTTGCTGGAACTCCAAAGAAGTGGGGCAAAACTTCTAATTTATTGTGTCTGTATGAGTAAGACATACTCCAGTGTGTTAGAAATGCAAAGAAGTACTGCAAAACTTCTAATTTATTGTGTCTGAATGCGTAAGACATACTCCAATGTGTTGGAAGTGCAAAGAAGTACTGCAAAACTTCTAATTTATTGTGCCTGTGTATGAGTAAGACATATTCCAATGTGTTGGAAGTGCAAATAAGTACTGCAAAACTTCTAATTTATTGTGTTTGTATGAGTAAGACATACTCCAATGTGTTAGAAATGCGAAGAAGTACTGCAAAACTTCTAATGTATTGTGTCTGAATGCGTAAGACATACTCCAATGTGTTGGAAGTGCAAAGAAGTACTGCAAAACTTCTAATTTATTGTGTTTGTATGAGTAAGACATACTCCAATGTGTTAGAAATGCGAAGAAGTACTGCAAAACTTCTAATTTATTGTGTCTGAATGCGTAAGACATACTCCAATGTGTTGGAAGTGCAAATAAGTACTGCAAAACTTCTAATTTATTGTGTCTGTATGAGTAAGACATACTCCAATGTGTTGGAAGTGCAAAGAAGTACTGCAAAACTTCTAATTTATTATGTCTGTATGAGTAAGACATACTCCAATGTGTTAGAAATGCAAAGAAGTGCTGCAAAACTTCTAATTTATTATGTCTGTATGAGTAAGACATACTCCAATGTGTTGGAAGTGCAAAGAAGTGCTGCAAAACTCATTTATTGTGCTAGTATGAGTAAGGCATACTCCAATTTGCTGGAAGTGCAAGGAAGTACTGCAAAACTTCTTATTTATTGTGCCTGTATGGCAAGGGAGTCATTTTCCTTATATGTGAGGATCTCCCCTTTGATGAGGCTGCAGTCTCTTACCTGGCCAGCACAGGTAGGTGCTGCAATGCTTTCCAATATAGCATCCACATTGTAGAATTGATGCATTTTGACACTACTTGCCTAGGATTATAGGGTCGTGGGATTTTTAGTTTCACAAGGTATTGGGCCTCACCAAGCTGCACTTCCAAGCTGTCAGTAAGGATGGGAGGTCCTGCTGCTGCCCTGGCCACGCCCCCTGCCAGGTGAGGCCACGCCCCCTGCCATCCCAGCCGGGGCGCTGTCCCT